TCTATACTTATGGTTCGAAACCAGGACTTTTGGTTAAGGACGGAAGGATTTTATCCTTCCCGCCACAACTCTTCTTGGTCAATATTCTACATATCTAGTAAGAATGAAACAATAGATTAAAGCTTATGTTGCTTTTATAGAAAATAGATTTACCCAAAATTTCCTTTGAATAATTAATTACTCAAAGGGGGAAAAAAAAGATATGTAGGAGCATATTAATTTGTTTGTTACCCTGTAAACTTACGTGCATCGCAATTGCACTTTCAGATTTCTATAGTAATCTAGGTAATAATCTTTTTTTCAGCTTATTAATAAGCTATTCAAGATTGTAAATGACATCTTGAGAGTTTGAAACCCCGGATTGCATATCGTAATGCTATATTGAGGTGAGACACATGCCAATTGATGAGCGTGGGGTTGTTTTCTACTGCGGATTGTGATTTGGTCCGTCCTGATTGATGATTTTACCGCATATTTGACTGAAACTTATTTGTTATCATCATGACTTGGGTTGATCGCTATATTTGAGCTTTGTGCCAACTATTTGAACCCTTCGGGGATTTCTAACACTATTTCCTCACTGTTTTGACTTATTACTTGAACTCAATCCTATTCATATCTACTATTTTACAAACTCAACCACTTTTACTTAGATTTGAAACTCAAATAATGTTTCTAAATGATGTTTTGGGTTGAGAACTACTGTTTTACTATGCCCGACGGGCTTGTGATGATTTTCGGACTGAGTGAGGCCGAGGGCCATATGTGAGGATATGAGGCCGAGGGCCTGAGATACTATAGAAGCCACGGGGTGGCTTGAGTGATGTGAGGCTGAGTGCTGAGTGATGATGTCACGAGGTGGCTTGATATTGCGCTTGGGCCGTAAAGAGCCCCTCCCGGAGTCTGCACACCCCCAGTGAGCGCCGTCGACGATATATGGATCGAGATGTACTCCGCAGCGAGATATGGATCGGGCTGCATGCCGCAGCGAGATGTGGATCGGGCTGCATGCCGCAACGGTTATTATATGATACTATTATGAGAGTGATATGAGAGAGAGAGCCCGAGGGGCTGAGAGTGAGCCTGAGGGGCTTTTGAGATATTGCCCGAGGAGCGAACTTTTATGTGTTCATCTTGCATACTTACTTGTCTTTTTACCTGTTATTTTGTGATTTTGTGCCCAAGGCGTGAATTTTCTGTGCTTATCGACAGTAACTATTTTGAAATCGTTGCGTAACTCTGTTGAAAAGATCATTTTCAAAAGAGGTTTAAATGGAGCCAAGATGTTTCTAAAGATTTCACAACTTCACTATTTTTCTCAAAGGACTGTACACTGCTTTTATACAACATGTTGGTTGCTTTACGTGATTTTTTACTGCTCAATTATTATTTACCTTTATTACTCACTGAGTTGGAGTACTCACTTTACTCCTTGCACCTCGTGTGCAGATGCAGGTATTTACTCATCCGGTAGCGGGTTTTGGCTGATTGGAGGCAGAGCTGTAGGACTTTAGCGAGGTGACTGCCAGTGTTCACAGCACCACTTCTCTCTTTTTTGTTCATTATTCATGTTCCGTGTATTTTTAGACCTTGTAGAACTGTATTCACACTCTAATAGATGCTCGTGACTTGTGACACCCCGATTAGGGCTGTGTTGGGTTGTACTTTCGCTAATTAATATCATTAAATCATATTTAAACTGCTTATGAACTGTTTAACTGCTTAAAAGAGGTGTTCTGTAATGGTTTGGCTGGCCTTGTATTCACGAAAGGCGCCATCACGACCGGAGCGGCGTTTGGGTCGTGACAATAAATTAAAAAGTTTCTTTGTAAAGAAAAAGATGAAGAACGAATATGAAATGAAAAGAAAGTTAAAAAATTTATTTTGAAAAAAATATTTTGTGAATTAGAAAATATTATTAAGGGTAAACTAGTAAAAGACTTGGTCAAACTAAAGTGCTTATAAGCTAAAAAGTTATAGGCCGATGGTTACCAACTTATGACTGATTTAAGCTGATAAGTATCTGGCTTATAAGCACTTTCGGTATTTACCAAATGCATAAATAAACCAAAAAATGCCCATAAGCCAGTTTGAGCAGCTTATAAGCTTAGCCAAATACCCTCTTTATAAGGAAGGAAGGTACGTTCTTTGTAAGTTGAGTTTAATCATGTTCAATTGGTCATATACAATAATTATTTGTTCCAACTGTATATTTTTCTTCTTTATTTTTCTCATTTATTTGATTTTCTTTTTGTCTAGAATGTTAAATTTGAGTAAAATGAAATAGAGTTGCGGCTAAATTTCAGAAAAAAAAAAAAAGTTTCCAAAAGGCAAGCGAGCTTAGATATTACTTGAAATGATCACACATATAGTTTTAAATGAATTTTCATGCATTTCATGACATTTCATATCATATTGTCATCTAATTCATGCTAGAAAAGACTCAAGTTACGCAAAAAAGGGAACAAAATAACAATGTTTAGAAATTTTGGGGACACTAAAAAAGATCATAGATTTAATTGGATAAAAATAAGTCTTTGTGTTGAATTAACCCTATAAAAGCATAATTCAAGAATTATGATTGCTCAAAGATAGTCCAATTTTGAGGTCTTTGTGTTGATAAGTCATTAGAGCATCCAATGCATTGTAATTTGTAAGACATAAAAAGTTAAGGGAAAGGCTCAAATTCGTTTGTGGGGACTGTTTTAAGTCTTTTTCTTTAGTATCTTTCATATGGTTGGCAAGTGAACTGACAGAATTGTGCCCTAAAGGTAAGATTTGGAAATCACATTATTATATTAATCAACAAAAATCTGAAAACTTTATCATCAAAAAAATACAATTTATTTATTTATTTATATCAAGACATTAAACACATGTATAGCAATTGACTAAACAACTTTTTTGCTTCCCATGTTTGCTTCTTGTCCATTTAGAAGCATATTCCTTTGTCAAATATCATGTTCAATAATTCTTTGACAGTCATACCCTACCAAGATTTTTCAAAAACCATTTTTTTCTCCATCCTTTTATTGGCTTTTCAGCCTTAAAGATAAGATTTGGAAAACAAAGGATATCACCATCCAACGCATTGTAGGGCACAGATTATAGATCATAATTCACCTTTAATACATTGAATGACAAATTGACTTTTGATGAACCCTTAAGTAATTTCTTAGAAAGAATCACAATCATAAACTGTACTGCATTTATACTTCCACTTCAGGAAGCTCTTGTTTAATTTTATTCAATTAAATTTATGGATATTTTAATTTGTAGTGGCCTAAAAATTCTTTTTTTTTTTTAAATATTTATACAAAAGAGGAACTACCTAAGAAATATCTAGGGAAACTTCTGTTTTATTTCCGTTGACCCTTCTGCAGGGTTGTAAATGACTTGACGTAACAATAATACTTCTTCCGTCCTAATTTATATAATATTGTTTAACTAGACATAGAGCTTAACAAGACTTTTAACATATTCGGTCTAAAATAAGCATTAGATATTGGTGCGACTATAAATTATCTCGTTAAGATTAAATGACTATTTTAACAATCAATTTTTTTTTACATATAAAAAATTAATAATATTTTTTAAACAGGCTAAAAAATAAAGTGTGTTACACTTCGCTTCATATTTAAAAAGTTTCATTCGATTTCGATACCTAAAACCCCAAAGTTCAAATCAAATAGGTTTAAATTAAATATAGGAACTAGTCTCATATTAAAATGCCGCAATGATATTTCAATACATTGATAAACAATAAAAATGAGTCCCAACTTATTAATTTTTAATGGAAGAATTAGCAATGTAAAAGACTATAAGTATAAATCAGTATTTTAGAAAACTTTCTTTTAAAAAGAAAATTAGACACAATATTGAAACAAAATGTACTCTGAAAACTATAAATTTAAATTTGACACGGAATTATTACTACTCTATTGACTATTGACTTGTTTTATACCATATGTTTTACAAAAATTATTTTATTTTAAATTTCATATTTGTAAAAATACCATCACATAAGTTAAGACGGATGAAATAAATGAATTTTGACTAGTTCTTTCAATTCACTTGCCGATAATGTGAAGACGATTCAAAGAAAAAAAAATTTGTGATGCAAAACAAGAGAATCCCGAAAACAACTTGCCAGAGTATTTCTACTCAATTTCTATCAAGGCAAGTTGTATATACTATCAATATGAAAAAAATCCAAAAGTAATTTCCTAGAACACTTCAAAAAACGTGAACTATAGTGCTTGCATTTATACTTCCGTTTCAGTAAGCTCTTGTTTAATCTTATTTGATTAAATTTACTAAAATTTTGAAAGGAATTTGCAAAATTCTTATTATACCACTCTACAAGAAAATACACTCAAGGGTATGTATGATATGCAAATTCAAAAGTGGATTCAAGATTTGATGGTTAAATGTGTCACTATTTTTAATACAAATCGACCACTAATTATGAGATTGAATTTGGGTTTAAATTTCGTTAATTTAATCCATTTTAAATTAATTCGATTCGATTCATTTTAACTTTCGTAAATATACCGTATGAATTACAGTGTGAAATTTATTTACACTTTAAGACCAAAATTTTTGTACAAAAAAGATGCTCCATCTAAGAAATATCAAGGAAAACTTCCTTCTGAAGGACTTGTGCTTATATGTAACTCTGCTTAGCTACTTTCCCTTTACTAAAAAATCATCCCCGCCGGAACTAGAAATTTCCGGTGAAAATCCCTCTCTCGAATTTTCCGGCGAAGAAACGAACAAATCCTTAAGCTTATTTCTCACACCCCTTCCGGTGAATCTCCGTCGCTGAAAATCCGATCCTGCGACGCATCGTCCTCGGACAATAGCCGTCAATCACTTCCTCCGTCGCTGCCGGCGTTGCCGCTGCGGGTGAGGAGCATGCGGATGAATGACTGGGCTAGTTGTTGGGCTTCGAGTTGGGCTTCCTGCTGCTACAGCACATTGGGTCGCTAATAGCTTGAATTTTTGCAGAGTTGCCATAATTGGAAGGTGAAGGAAGAAGAAGTGAAGGAGGAAGGAATATGGAGGAGACGGTCATGGATTAGATTCTGTGTTTTCGGTCTAACGATTTACTAAAAAATAATCCCTTAATTCTTTCATTCTCATCAATCCTTAATTCATCAAATGGATACTCAATTAGTTCGAGGAGAATCATCTACATCTTCTCACTTCTCTTATGATGTATTCCTCAGCTTTCGAGGCGAAGACACCCGAAAAACATTCACTGGTCATCTTTATTCCAAATTGTGTGATGTTGGAATTAATACCTTTATTGACGATGAGGAATTGAGAAAGGGTGACGTGATTTCAAGTAAACTAGAGAAAGCAATTGAAGGGTCAAGAATTTCCATTATTGTTTTCTCAAGAAATTATGCTTCCTCTAGTTGGTGTCTAAATGAACTAGTTAAAATTCTTGAATGCAAAGAGAAACTAAAGCAGATGGTTTTGCCTATTTTCTATGATGTTGATCCGTCTGAGGTACGAAAGCAAACTGGGTTATTTGGTGAAGCTTTGGCAAAACATAAGGAACGACCATTTGGAGCTCAAAGGGCGGAGAAATGGAGAGCTGCACTTACTGAAGCTGCGAATTTATCTGGATGGGATTTGCAAAATGTTGCTGACGGGTACATTTTCTTGATTCAACTATATGTTTTCATTTGTTATTTGTTCAATTATTTATAAGATGTGATACTAACTGATCAAAAGAGTTTATAGGATGTGATACTATACATTGACAGTATCGAAATATTTTCACTATCAATATATATAACTTAAATTATTTCTTAAAGTATACTATATGACGCCGTAAGTTATCTGTTTTGTTGCTTAGATTCATCCCACTGGGTTATGTCTTGGCTATCGATTTTGATTTGCCCATCAAATATTTTCAAATATCAAAGTTTTATTTACCGGAGTAGTACTTCTTTTAATTTTTTGTTTTTGCTAAAAATTTTGTAGGCATGAATCAAAGTTTATTGAAAAAATTATACAGCAAGTCCTACAAGAGGTTAACCAGACACCTCTAGATGTTGCTTGGCACCCAGTTGGAGTAGATTCTCGTGTCAAAGATATAGAGTTGTTATTACAAAATGAATGTGAAGATGGAGTTCGCATGATTGGTATTCACGGAGTTGGAGGCATAGGGAAAACAACTCTAGCAAAAGCTATCTACAATCAAATGTTTCGACTCTTCGACAGTAGTTGCTTCCTTTCGGATGTTAGATCAGAAGCTGAAGAATTTGGTCTTGTCAAGCTACAAGAGAAACTTCTTCAACAAGTACTCAAAAATAAGGACATCAAAGTTGGCAATGTCGCTCAAGGCATCAATTTAATCAAAGCAAGACTCGAGTCAAAGAAGGTTCTAATTATTCTTGATGACGTGGACCACAGAAACCAATTAGAATCCTTAACAAGAGAAAGAAGTTGGTTTGGTTCGGGTAGTTTAATAATCACTACCACCCGAGACAAGCGATTGCTATGTCGGTTTGGAGAAAAAGAGCGATATGAGGCCAAACTATTAAATGACGATGAAGCTATGTTACTTTTTTGTTGGCATGCTTTTGATAGTCATTTTCCACCAGAAGATTATGTTAATTTGGCACGAGACATAATCAGATATTCAGGTAGGCTACCATTAGCTCTTGTGACATTGGGGTCACATTTACAAGGAAGTTCTATAGAAGAATGGGGATATGAATTCAAAAAACTAAAATCAATTCCTCATTGTGATATCCAAAAGATTCTCAAGATAAGCTTTGATGGACTTGATGATGAAACACAAACTGTTTTCCTCGATATTGCATGCGCCTTCCATGGGTTTTATGAGCAAGAAGTTACTGAAATGGTAAATGCATGTGGCTTTCATGCTAAAAGTGCAATTGCAACTTTAGTCCAAAAACACTTACTCCAAAGATCTTGGAATATTTTGGGGATGCACGATTTAGTGCGAGATATGGGAAGAGAAGTCGTTCGCATGGAATCAGCTCGAGACCCTGGAAAACGGAGTAGATTATTCATCCCTCAAGAAGTCCGTGATGTTCTACAAGGAAATAAAGTCAGTAAATCTTTTATCCTTTATCTTGGTTATACTATTTTTTTTTCCAATTTTAATTGCTTATTGCTTATAATTTATATTGTCATCATAAGAAGTGAATTCATTTTGTGCTTCGTCTCTGGTTAGTAAGTGTTATTCTAGTTTTTCTTTAAAATCTAATATTTAATAGTACTATTGTCTGGTTTCTGGATGCAATTTGTTCTCTTTATTTATCTTTGTTTTTTCCATTGATATTATCGTGTGAACTTATTGACTGCTGCTAAACTAGTTTTTGAAAGACTCTCATCTTAGTTTTTGAACAATTTTTACATTCTTTTTTTTTACATCCTCTAATGTATAAGTTTATTTTTCTTGATAAATATAGTGTAACCTCTTTGTTTGACCTTGAATTGGTATAAAGCATTCTTCCCTCTTAATATCTGGGACTTAAGATGGTCTTCAGATACTAATCTTTTCTCCAAACTAATCTTTTCTCCAAACTACAGGGTTCCAAAAAGGTAGAAGTACTGAAGGTAGATCAACTAGCATTTGAGGGACTGCACTTGAGCACCAAAGCATTTAAGAAAATGAAAAACCTTAGGGTTCTTATGATGGATGAGTTACATATTAGTGGAGATTTTGAGCTGTTATCCAAGGAGCTCAGATGGTTGTCTTGGAAAAGATGTCCTTTAAAATGTATACCATCAAATTTTCCGGCTGTGAATCTTGTAGTTCTAGATATGCGGGGGAGTGATATCCAAGAATTTCAATTGAATTTGCAGGTTTGTTACACAATTTTACAATTTCATGTGTACGGTTTACCACTAAGTGAAAGAAAATGTTAATTGAAACCATATTTGGTTTACTTTTAGTGTTGTAGAAGTTTGAAGAAACTGGATCTCTCTCATTGCAAGCAACTCAGAAGCACTCCAAACTTCAATGGTTCGATGAGTCTTGAGGCTTTGTATCTCTATGGATGTTCAGGTCTGACGGAGATCCATCCATCAATAGGAAATTTGTCCAGACTAATTGAACTATATATATCTGGTTGCGAAAAACTTACGGATCTTCCAAGCAGCATATGCCAGCTAATATCCGTTAATTACTTGAGCATTACTGACTGCTCATCAATAAAAACACTGCCAGATAACCTTGGAGATATGAAAAGTCTAAGATTTCTTTCTGCAGTTGATACGGGTATAAAACAATTGCCTAGATCTGTTGAAATGCTAAGAAATCTTGAATCATTGGGAGTGGGAGGTCGAAAGTTAGAGGCCAAAAGGAGTATTTCTGGAAGAGGAGTCCATCAGATACAATATTCCTTGTCAAATTTTGTGACCATATTGAGGCTTGTATACTGTAATTTGTCCGAGGCTGATATTCCTAGGAATATTGGGAGCTTATCCTCCTTAAAATATTTAGATTTGAGTGGCAACAGTTTCTATTGTCTACCCTTTGATTTTTCTAAGTTACAATTATTGGAAGAGTTATGTTTGAATGACTGTCCGAATCTTCAAACACTCCCATCAATATCAAATTTAGAGAATCTTCGATATCTTGAACTTTATAATTGCCAAAAATTGGTCAAGATTACAGAGTTGGACAACCTCCCCTCTGTAGAGCGATTTAATATGATTAATTGTAGTTCTCTGCAGAATCCATTCAATGAAGGCTTCTTTAATGCACCTGCTCGAGCATTTCAATCTAAACAACAACAAGATCAGGTCAGACTCTCTCTCTCTCTCTCTCTCTCTCTCTCTCTCATATTAATGATCTTGAGTTTTTGTCCGATGCAGCTTGATGTAGAAATTTTTCTCGAATGCAAGGAGATTCCAGAATGGTGCAGGAATCAAGTAACAGCTTCATCTATGTGTTTGACTATTCCGACACATAATAATGATGAGTATAACTTCTTAGGAATGGTTCTCTGGTTTGTTATCGACTCTTTGGATGCAGCCCCTTATCCATGCCACAGGATTAGTATTGCCCATAAAGAGACTGTAATTGTTCCGTGGAAATATAGCTTACATGAGGCTTTTGATGGACATAGAGATATTGCTTACATAAGGCTTTTGATGGCCTTAAATGAACGTTTTGATGGCGAGATGATTAAAGGTGGGGAAAGGATAGAAGCATGGTCCGAAGAAGTTACAGTAAAGAAGATAGGGATCCATCTGTTATATTTAGACCAACATGGTAATGTTATATCTTTACCTGGAGACGTTATACAATAAGGAAACTGAGGATTTATCTGTTGACAGAAATATGAGGATTTTACTTGCATAGAGTTTCGATTTTTGTTCTTCCGACAGAAATCGAAAATATTTATATTTGAGAGATCACTGCTTGATAAACTGATAGAAACTATGTTTGTTGAAATAAAATATTAAATACCTTAGTGGTATGGAAATTTTGTTCTTCCTCTGTTTCTTTCCTTTGCCATAATTCTCATACAAGCTTAAGTCAATGATATTAGATGAAATCCTATTCTTGCCAAGTCAATGATATCTTTCTAGACTTCCTCCCTTATTAAATCTATCTTCAGAATCACCCTTTTTTTATTTCATCGATCACCTCTACAACGATAATACTTAGAACAACCTCTATTATACGGATTCGACGGCGGCGGAAGGCAGCTTCGGAAATACGGTTCGCCGCCATTACAAACTGGTTGATCTCTTTGATTTGCACCGGGTGTCCGAGTCTCTTCGAGCCCCGACTAATTCCGGGGGTGCACAGGCCCTCGGCAAGGAGTTTCCCNTTTTTTTTTTGATTTGCACCGGGTGTCCGAGTCTCTTCGAGCCCCGACTAATTCCGGGGGTGCACAGGCCCTCGGCAAGGAGTTTCCCACAAGTGTACCATGGTTAATTCAGGTTTTACCCAGTCCGATGCCCTCAGAAATTGTTTGCACCTAGTGAGTTTCGAACTTGAGAGCAAACCCCAATGCTCAAGGCAATTGCCACCAGGCCAACCCATGAGGGTTAAAACCGGTTGATCTCTTTTCAAAGCTCCAGGAGAAATATACTTTTTTCTTTCTTCAAGAAATCTTCTACTAATAGCAGACTCCATTAATATCTCCAAATCTTCGTTACACTCAGCTATTGTACCATTGCATGGTGATTGGCCTGTTACAGAGTTGATTATAAATAAAAGAGTAAGAAAAATAGTGAAGAAATATATGAGTTTTGTGAAAATTGGAGCTTCCATTCTTTGGTTTTGTGTGAATGGTATAGTTGGTTCTACTATTTGTAGCTGTGCTTTATTTTGCTTTTTTGATAGAAGACACACTAAGAAGTAGAGGGACGCACTAGTCCACCAACCAAAACCTAACCTTTATGAAATTACATGAATTTATAAATATGATTGTGAGCTTTGAAATAGTTTAAATAAATAGTTGTGAGACAATTAATTATATGCTATATGCAGGATAATAATAATAATAATAATAATAATAATAATAATAATAATAATAATAATAATAATAATAATAATAATAATAATAATAATAATAATAATAATAATACATTTCTAAGAAAAGTATTCGAAGTTTTGATTTTTTATCAAATTTGATTAGTAAGCTTTGTGATCTTAAATATGTCGTTGAGAATCGCCATTAATCAATCATGTATAGGACGTACCATTGCAACTTGAAGTTGGTTGAATGCCCTCTCGACTTGCAACTAATTAGGAAAATAGTTATAGGCCGGCCACTTTTAAGTCAGCTTTTGATACTATTGTAGTTTCAGATAGACATTCTAACTTAGTTAGTGATCAAATAGACACATCAACTCAACAAAAATATCTCTTATTGCATGTATATCTTCACATTCCTCGGGAATTTGAAACAAATTTTGCATTTTATTGTAGCTAAAATAAAAGTGATCGCATATATTAAAAAAAAAGGGTTGCCCGATGCACTAAGCTTCCGCTATGCACGGGGCCTAGGGGAGGGCCAGACTACAAGGGTGTATTGTACCTAATCTTACACTTTATTAGGCTGCTTCCACGGGTCGAACAAGTGATCACATATGATTAGTATAATGTGAAGCCATTATCGTATGAGACATGCCATCCTTGCCTACAAGGTGGGGCATTTTCATCATACTCAGCACAACAACTCCATCTCTTTTTCCAGTTTTTTCTTCCTGTATTTGGCCTCTTATCCTTGTCGTTCCACTTATAGACGATTACTCCAGATCCGTCGCTCCATTCTCCATTGCAGCAGCTTCAACACAATTGTTTTCCTTCGGATGAGAGCATGTTACTAGACGCCATACAAACCAAATGCCTTATCCTTCTCTGACCTGCTCATCCATAACTTATACGGATGAACTTGTGTTATGTCTTATGAAACTCTTCATTTTCTTATCCTATTCCAGTATGAGATTCATAGAATATGTCATGTGCGTCCTTTCTTTGTAAGCTTGCTAGCCTAGAAGCCTGTCGGTCCTTTTCTTTGACCCGTCCTTGTACGCCCAGCCTCCGTCATGGTGTAACACTCTTCATCCTATTTGGCCCTAAATCTATTCTCTCTATCTATCTAGCCTTCCTCTTGCTTTTTCTCATACATTTCTAGTTTTTTCTATAACTTATATTAGACAGAAATGGTATCTCGCGAGCTTTTAGTAATATACTAAGAAATATCGCGAGCTTGTGGGCAACACTTTCTTGTCTCCAATAAAGACCCAAATCAAGTAACATATGAAGTCAATGGAAGGAAGAAGGGACAATCAAACAATGAAATTGATCAGCAAGGGTCTGAGTTACTACTACACTAGTCCGACGAACCAAGCATTATAAGAGGCTCAAACTCCTTCAATCTCATCAATGTCGGAAAAAGTTGCCATAAGGGGCGGGGTAGACGATAAATCAACACTCTGCCTCATAGTTATTAATCCTGTTTAACATTACCTCCTTTTTTTAATATAATATTCCAGATTCATCTACTAATGAAAGAAAGCAAAAGAAGGATACAACGGGCTTTTAACTTAGGTGAGGTTCACTGATCTAAACAAATAACTTTGAAGAAGTATTAGCAAACTCAATGTGACAGACTGAAAACTTCTTTACTCCAACACTTAAGATTTCTTATGCTGCTCAATTTCCTCATAAATATGCATAGCCGTAACCAGCTATGCTACTTGGACCCTCTAAAATATTGTCTCACCCGTATCGGATTCTCCATTATTTTCAAACGTTGGAGGATCCGACACACACACAACAATATTCTTAAAAAGTTCGAGCAACATAGATAACCGGATAACCTTTTCCATTTTAGAAAGAAAACTAAAATAAAGTGAATCGAACACCTCATTATTAACTAGAAACTCTTGATAAGACACATATATTTAAATTGGCGATGCGACGCAAAAAAAAAAAAAGGGACGAAGATTCAATAATCATGCTAATGTTGTGGAATAGTTCCTAAGGACAATCCCCTGCTCAGACGGGGAGCCTTGGCGTAGCTAATAAAGTTGTTGTCATGTGACCAGGAGGTCACCGTTTCTTTATATATAGAAAATAAAACACAGGAATTAAGCAACATAATCAAGAATTGAGAGAGGATAATTAACTACCATTAGTGTGGCCGTGGAAAGAGCAGGCAATGAGGGAATTATCTTCGTCTTGATAAAGAGTATTGCACCTCAAACATTTCTTCTTATTTTGGGAATTTACAATTTGCAGTCTTTTTCCAGCTCCTCTTTCTAAAGCTGGTTTTCTCCGACAAGAAATATTTGAAGAATTGGGAAACAATATATTTTGGGAAAGAAGACTTTTGTATACTAAAGTCATCAGAAGAAATGAAGAAATGGTTTGCAGCTGCTCACCGAAAGCTGGAAAGTTCACTGAACTGATATTAGTGGCTACTATTTGGCGTCGTTTCAATTTATTTGACATAATTAAACTCGGAAAAAATAATAAAAAATTGAAAATAAAATTATATTTTGTAATCTTAAGCTTGTCATATTTGTGGATCTTAAAACTTATATTTTTAAACATATCATAACATTAACATTCAATATAAAATTTCTCTAGTTCACTTGGGTTGAACTGGATTCGGTTAATTCGTTGTGACAACTCTATCTATGACCCAAAATTAAAGTTAGCATAATTATGAAGAAGAAAGCTATTATTTGGTTTAAGCATTCAATATCCGAAGTTGCTAGTTCTACTAATGTTGAATCTGGTCGATTATTGATGTAACAATCACACAAAAAATATGAAATCTTTAAATAAATAACTGAAACAAGTGTACTATTTATTTTTTTCTAACCGATATATTATTTTAGGTTGTCACGTTGTCACGATCCGAATTTCCTACCCCCGGGAGTCGGGATGGCGCCTACTCATAGAAGTTAGGCAAGTCACGAAATTAGAAATCTTTAACTCCTTTGTTTTAATCCTTTTTCAACTTATGTTAACAAGTGATAAATATTTAAATAATTGCGGAATATGAGATTAAGCGGAAGACTTAGACAAAAATTAAACCAAATAATACGAAAAGTCAACATATGTCTCTGCCCAGAAACTAGTGTCACATCGTTCACGGACTATCTATGATTACTACATATAAGTGTTTGAAAGAAAGAACATAGTCTGTCTCGAGTACAAATGATAATAGAACATAAAAACTAATAGAAGAGACGCCGGGCCTGCGGACGCCTGCAGGGCTACCTCGGAATCTCGGTGGACTTAAGGCTGGCTCCCCTACTGCTGCTTTGGTATCTGCACATAAGTGCAGAGTGTAGCGTCCGCACAATCGACCCCATGTGCTGGTAAGTGCCTGGCCTAATGTGACGACCCAAAGGGTCATCACCGTAATTCTTCCTTGTTCCGCGCTTCCGAGGCCTTAAAAACCTCGCATTTAGTTGTCTCAATTTGCATGCGCAGTACGGGCGCGAAGCCGAAAAGTTTTTATGTTGAAATATGTGAACTGTGTGTTAAAATTGAAGAATTTTGATATTAACATTGTTAGAGTTGACTTCAGTCAACATTTTGGGTAAACGGACCCGGACCCGTGATGTGACGGTCCCGGAAGATCCGTAGAAAAATATGGGACTCGGCGTATTCCCGGAATCGAAATCCGAGGTCCCAAACCCAAGAAATGAATTTTTGAAAAAAATCATTTATCTGAAAAAGATATGGAATTTTGAAAAGAAAATGAGTTAGAAAATATAGGTATCGGGCTTGTATTTTGGTTCCGACGCCCGACACATGTCTTAAATATGCGTTAAGCGCTTTGTGTGAAATTTGGTCGAAATCGGACGTCGTTTGACGTGTTTCGGACCTAAATATCTAAAGTTAGAGGTTTATGAACTTTGAAATGAAAAATGATGATTTTGAGGTTTGATACATTGAATTTGATGTTATTTTGGCAATTTGATCGTTCGATTAAGTTCGTGGGATGTTGTTTAGTTAGTGTGTATATTTGGTTAGGAACTCCGAGGGCTCAGAGTGATTCAGAGGTGGTTTGGGGTAGTTTTACACTTAGAAAACACATCAGAAATTTCTTTAATTTTTGCACAGAAAACTTCCTCTTCGCGTTCGCGGTTAAGCCCACGCATTCGCGTAGGTCAGGTTTCCCTTTAACCGCGTTCGCGAGCCTCCCTCGCGTTCGCGTATAAGCCTGTCCCAGACCCCAGCCCCCCTTCCTCTACGCGTTCGCGACTTGCTTTGAACCATCCGCCCTTCGCGAATGTGTCCCATTCACGCGAATGCGAAGGGAATTTACCCAACAAATTTTTAAAGCTTAAAAACCGAACCACTTCAGGATTTTTCATAAAATTTCACACGCACTCTTCTCCTTCACCCTCGACAGATGAATTCCAAGCTTCACTTTCTCCATAACTCTTTGGGTAAGTGACCTTAACTTCGTTTCCTCTTAATTTCTTCATATAATTACTAAGTTTCTAACCCTAAATGATAAAATCAAAGTAGAAATTGGGGGATTTGGGTAGAACTAGGGCTTTTGGGATTTTGGGCGATTCAACCTCAATTTGGGCCCGGGGTCGGATTTTGGTATTTTTGGAAGGATGATAGGAAATTCATTTCTAGGATATGGAATTGTGTCTTTAAGCCATTATTGATAATATTGAACTAAATTGTGCCTAGATATCATTGTTTCGGAGTTGGATTCTAGAGGAAAGGCGGTGTTAGAGATTTGATTGCTATTTTCGAATCGAGGTACGTGTTTGATCTAACTCTGATTTGAGGGAATAGGAATAGGATATTTTTTACTACGTGCTAAGTGTGGCGTACGGTGTATAGGCATGGTGACTGTTATCTATGCACCGGAGTCTAGCATGATCGTGATTCTTAATTACTTTAATTCGAATGATGTGTTTCAGCTTCTTGTTTAAATTGATATATTTCTCATGATATGAACGGTTGAGGAAAGATAGTGATTGTACATCATTGGAGCGTTGGCTCGACCTAGAACTTGTTGATGACTAAGTGTTTAAAAGCAAAAGTACTGTGATCATTCTCTTGCCGAGATTTAAGTAAATGTTGAATTTCTCCCTTGCCAGGATATTTGAGTTGTTAATTGTATTTCCCTCGCCGGGACTTCTTGCAGTTGTTGTTACTCCCCTCGCACTTGAGTTGCAATTGTTTGTTTGTTGGGTGAGATCTTGTTGTTAAATATTAAGGATCGGGTTGCACGCCGCAACGGTATTAATTGTTGAGGATCGGGTTGCACGCCACAACGGTACTAATTGTTGAGGATCGGGTTGCACGCCGCAACGGTGTTATATGGTGAGGATCGGGTTGCGCGCCGTAACGGAGTATATACCAAGTGTATTATCTTCATATGTAAAGTTATCCCGAGATTTCCTTATCTGTTGTTATTGTTCAGCTTCACTTCATATCTGGTGATTTAATGTTTAACTTTCGTATCCCGATAGCATGTTCCCCTCCCAACTTTACGTTGTATTTTCTTGTTATCGTTTCTTGCACTTGTATATATATATATCTGCACAGGTTATTTATGGTAGGTCCTGTCTGGCCTCGCCACTACTTCGCCGGGGTTAGTCCAGGCACTTACCAGCACATGATGTCGGTTTTGCTGATGCTACACTTTGTGCATTTTTGTGCACAGATCAGGGAGCAGCTTATGGACCGCAGCAGTAGTAGATCGGGAGCAGCCCTTCAGTCCAGAGACTTCGAGGTAGCCTTGCTGACGTCCGCAGGCCCGGAACCTCTTCTATCTTTATTCAGTTTGTTAGCTTTTGTACTGAAACAGACTGTTATGCTTTCCTTCAGACGATTGTATTTAGTAAATCTTAGAAGTTCGTGAGTATTGTGACACTAAATCTTGGGTAGAGGATGTTGTTAAACTTTCCGCATTTCTTTCAGTTAATTATAATTGAGACTTCCGCTTATTTCATTGCTTTGTTCAAATTTTATTATCGAAAATGTTAGTTAGAGTGTTTGATTGTTGGCTTGCCTAGCTCCTAATAGTAGGCGCCATCACGACTCCTGATGGTGGAAAATCCGGGTTGTGACAAGTTGGTATCAGAGCACTAGGTTACTTGGGTCTGACAACTCACGGACAAACTCGGTAGAATCTGAGGGATCGGTACGGAGATATCTACATTTATCCCTAGAGGCTACAGAGTTAGAAAAATCTCACTTTGTTCATTCTTGTCGTGCGATTCTGTTTCTCAAGTACTGATTATCTTTCTACTCTGTTCTTTCGCAGATGGCGAGAACACGTGCTTCCTCTTCTACCGTGCAGCAACCCGAGCCCCCAACAGCAACATCTATTAAGGGCAGAGGCCGAGGCCGTGCTAGAGGCCGAGGTCGGGGCAGAGCTTAGCCCCGTGCAGCAGTCCCAGAGGTGGAGCCTCATGTTGACTACGATAAGGAGGTTCCAGCTCCAGCAGCTCCAGTGGGCCCAACTCAGGTCCTAGAAGGTTTTATAGCTACTCAAGTGCTTCAGGACGCTTTGGTCTGACTAGTAGGATTCATGAAGGGTATTTCTAGATTGGGTTTGCTTCCCATAGCTCCAGCCACATCTCAGGCTGGGGGAGGAGTTCAGACTCCCATTACTCATACCCTAGAGCCGGTAGCTCCTCAGGCTCAGGTTCCAGCAGTTCAGCCAGCTGTGGTAGTTCAGCCAGCTGTGGTAGCTCAGCCAGTTGCGGCCCAGACTAGTGATGGTGCAGCTATGTCCGCGGATGCTGTATGGAGGCTTGATCATTTCACCAGGCTCTTCACTCTCACATGTAGTGGTACTCCTTCAGAGGATGCTCAGAACTTCATATTCAGTTGTCATGAGGTTCTTCAGACCATGGGTATATTGGAAGCCAATGGGGTCGATTTTGCCACTTTTTGCCTAGCAGGATCTGCCAAGACTTTGTGGAGAGACTTTTGTTTAGCCAGGCTAGCAGGGTCGCCATCATTGACCTGGGATCAGTTTTCAGAGTTATTTCTGGGGAAGTTTCTCCTAGTTACTCAGCGGGATGCCCTTCGCAGGCAGTTTGAGCCTCTCTATCAGGGTACTATGACAATCACTCAGCATGAGACCCGGTTCATCGATCTTGCTCGCCATGCTACCGTGATACTTCCCATTGATAGCGAGAGGGTGCGGAGGTTTATTGATGGGTTGGCTCAGCCGATCCATGTTCAGATGGCTATGAGTGCCTGTAGAGAGATCTCATTTCAGGAGGCAGCAGATGGTGCCCGCTGGATAGAGATGATACTTGCTCAGGGAGGTGGTCATGGGTCTGATAAGAGGCCCCGTCATTTTGGTAGGTTCAATGGTACCTCGTCTGGAGGTAGGGATTCCTATGGCAGGGGCCATCCTCGGAGGCCCTTTCAGTCAGCTCTTCAGACCTCTCATGGTATTCCAGGCAACAGTGGTTCTCGGTCGTATTATTCTAATCAGTAGTCTTTCG